AGCCGAACGCGCGGGGCTGGGGGGGGGTAAATTTTACCCCCCCCCCTGTTATCTCCCGAACTAATGGTCCGATTTGGAAAATTCAAACGCCAATCGAAAGATCTCATCACGAACAACTAAAAACATATACTTAATTTTAAGTTTGAGGTCAAGGTCAAGGTCAGGTCAAGGGTACAAATTGCAAGTTCCTACAGTATCGGCCTTGCACCGTAGTTGCCGAAGAATGGAGTCATGGACTGAGATTGATCGCCCAAAACGTGTTCTTAGGCTACCAAGACAATATTCGTTGCATACAATATCATTCAGAGGTCAAGGTCAAGGTCAGGTCAGGTCAGGTCAGGTCACCAAAAACAAAATATAGAAAAGGGCATGTGCGACACATGTTTTATGGGTCATTTTACTCATAGAATTCAATAAGCACACTCAATAAGTGATATGGACCACCTCTGGATGAATTTCAGGTCGAGGTCAGGTCAAGGTCAGGTCAAGTGAGGTCAAATTTTGAAGTTGGTTGTTAAGGCCTAAAAAGGTGTCTATCTGATGCAGTTTTTTCACGGCGAATCGAATGGTGCTATTTTTGTTTCCGTACGAGGTCTAGAACTTCCCAAAAAGTCATTTTTCGAAATTTTTGTGTGTCGTGACGTCATACAATTTTGAATAACTCCCACATTTTTGAACCGATTCTTCTAAAACTTGGTATGTAGGTGCACATAGACCACTTCTCTTACATATATTCCGGTTTTGTCGATACACTCAAAATTTTGGATTTTATAGCTATTTTCCAAAAAAAGTTAGTTTTTTGAAAAAAATTGGGCCAAAATCCAAAATTTTCCAAAAACCGAGATAGCCATTTGATAGACAAAGTAGAATCACGTATATCCTTTTTTGTTACGTCTTGATTCCTTTAAAAATGAAGATGTTAGCAGCGTTTGAACTTTTGCCGTTTTTGAGGCGAAAATGGCGAACATGACGTCACTAAAACGTCAATTTCTCAAAAAAATTCCGACGGATTTCGCTCAAATTTTCAGGAAACGTGTCAAATTGATGTGAGAAAAGGTACTGAAAGTTTGGCGGCGCTGCGCGCCGCCGTTTTTGAGATATTGCAAAAATTCGCGAGGGGGGTAAAATTTACCCCCCCCCCCCCAGCCCCGCGCGGGTTAAATAAGTAGCCGCCGAAAAAATGTTTATCATACATCAATTCTACACATCAGACATGTGCATGGATCCGAGTGATGGATCTATGATCTCAGTGGATCTCGAAGCAAATTACAGGTTGCGATCTATGATCCCACCGGATCCGGCGGTGAAAAATACATCTTGGATCTATGATCTCACATGATCTGACGATAAATTAAGAACATGGATCTATGATCTGAGTGGATCCCACCATGCACCACATTTGAAACCATGTTTTAAAGGGTTTCTATGCCAATAATTGCTACAAAACTATGGGTTATGACGTGCGATCACATAGAATCACTAAAACAGGACGTTTGTGAGTTGAAACATGTGCTTTTTTGGGGATATATGTGTTGACAAAAATAAGTGAGGATCTATGATCTCACTGGATCTCAAGCAAAAAATGAGACTCGGATCTGTGATCCCTAAGGATCTCTCGACAAATTACAGAGCTGAATCTATGATCCCGTTGGATCCGAGATCAGGATCCGTGGGATCAGATCCCAGATCCATTTTCTCGGATCCACGCACATGTCTGCTACACATGTTGTAAAAATTTCAGACCAAGGTCATTCAAGGTCAGGTCACCAGGTCACTTGAAGTGACCTCACCTCATAAAAAGTTTCAAATTCAATGTCTGCCATAGCTACACGGAGTAACCGATCGCTTTGAAACTTTCAGCGATTGATAAAAGCAATAGCATGTATAAAATGTTTATCTCAGAATTTCGATAGCGATGACCTAAGGTCAGGTCAAATTTGCGACCTCCCCATTAGGTATACCTAAGTAAATGGGAGAAAATTGAAATGCGCCTCTTTTGGACGAAACACATTATAAACACTCTTAAACACTGAATTACAAGTGGTTTAGACACAATGAACATGAAAACTGGTGTCCGTGACCCCCTGTTTATGCCCCTGAGGTCATCTCAGGTCACGAATGGTATGTAACAGTTTTTCGCAAATAACTTTTGATAGAGGCATGCTAGAGCGATGAAAACGCCTTAGATGTGTTCAGCTCGACGATACGGATCGACTGATATGCAACATGACCCTTTCCGGTCAGGTCATGACCTTGACCTGAGGTCAAATTTTCAAGCCTTTCAAGTTGACCTTTCAAGGTCAAGTTATAGTTCATTCGATGCGTCTTGACGAGAAGAGCACGATGCCGGTAAAAGTAAGCTCGTACAAGGCTTGGGTCAAAAGTTTTTTGCAGAAAACTGTTTCCGAAAAAAAATCGGTTATTTTTGCAGTTTTTGCCCCCTGCAGGCAAAACCGTTGACGGTAGGTCAAATCTGAGGGAATTATTCAAAAAGGGCGTTAATAGGGCTATCGAATGCGCTTTTCCGCGGCTCTGTAGCTCTATTGGTTCCCGAGTTATGCGTTGTCTTCTTGGATGAATTGTCGATATTCGACCTGGAAATCGGCGAAATTTTGCCTTCAATGACCTCTGGTGACCTGACCTTTGACCTGACCAATAAGTGACCAAAGTGAGTTCGTCCTTATTTTTTGCGCTCTTTCGAACGCCGCCTTCTGCGTATCGCTACGTGGTCCAGGAGCCGAGTTAGAAGGGGGGTGTTCAAACAACCCCCCCCCCCCCACAGCAGGGCGTGGAAATCCAGGACCCCCAGCCGGGCGCGGGTTAACAAGTCTGGACGGTACTCTAGCTATATTCGTGACAACCTCCGGTATGCCGACGCTCGTTCGGCTGCACATATTTTATAAACAAACATATCATCGCATGTATCGCATGTACCCCTACAACAGTACCTGTAGGGACCACGTACTGTTGTACCTACACGCATTCTCATCAGTCACATCACCTGAGTCACATCATCCAAAGTCACCCGAGGTCAAGATTCAGCTTGAGCGGCTAATGCATGGAAAGGAGCACTTACATATTCGAAACGCCTTGAGGCAATTAATGTTTTGATCAGGACTGCGGAGTCGATGGATTTTAGGGTGACTACGACTCCAACTCCAGCTTTAAAAATCGACTCCGACTCCGACACCAACTCCGACTCCGAACGGTCCTAATAACCCAAAATGAATGACCTTTTCCTCGAATATAGAAAATTTAAATGTCGAAAATGATGTATTTAGGTGAATTTTCGACATTTAAACTTTCTATATTCAAGGAAAAGGTCATTCATTTTGAGTTATAACAATATGTTCCTCGCAAGAGCACTCAACACCATATCCGGACGGTCCTATTAAAATCAATATCATGATGTTGAAGTTCATAATGGAGATGTTTTTATCTTGCCTGAAACGATCCCTTGTGCGTTCCAAGGCTTTGCGTTGCAAAGATGCATTATAAATAACATGCATAATTAAAAATCAGCTCCTGGGGAATTTACCATCTTTTCTCCTTTACTTGAAGACGTTCGTTCAAAACAGCAAAATTGCATTTTTTTCAACAAAATCTGATTTCGAGCGCAGTTATATCGTCAACCAAACAGGTGCAGTGCATGACGTTAAACCATGCAGCGTTAACTCCGACTCCGTAGTCGAGTCGGTAATAGGTATTTTGGCGACTCCGGCTCCGACTCCGCAGCCCGGTTTCGATATTTACTCATTCCTTTATTTTTGCCTTAGTTATTCACCAAAACCACAGCTAACTTCATTAGTCGTTGCTTTGATCTTCTCTTTCCTTTTCTCGTTCGTTTTTCCCCGGAGCTCTGGATTAATCAGCGGTCAAACACGAATGGGGCAAACTCTCACTGCATCCTAACGTCGTTTTTACGGGTCTTTCTCCTATTAGTGCTATAAACAAACGGATTTCTACCTTACATTTATGAATTGTGAGTGACCTTTCCATGAAAAAATAATTCAGCTTACAACCATAAATCCTCAGGTTCCTTCGCCGAAGACGCAATTAACCCGCGAGTTGCTGGGGGGGGGCGTTAAACGCCCCCACTTTTTTCGCCGAGCCATAGCATAAAAACGGCGCGCCGCAGGCGCGCCAAATTTTGGGTACCTGTAGGGAATTGATTGAAGCTTATTGTGACAAAGTTTCAAAAAAATCGGTCGGAAAATTTTTGAGATATCGAGGTTTTAGTGACGTCATGATTTCTGAGTTTTCGACCAAAAACGGCATATGTTCAAAAAATCATATAAAATCACAGAATAGACATACAGACATGCCGTAAACGCCATTAGACTGCCAATACCATGAACAATCAAATGGCTATCTTCGATTGTTGATTATCGTTCCGCATTTTCCAAAATCTTGAAGTGAATCTTGGCAATTTCTCGTGACTACTTCACGACCATGATACATGCATTTCTTAAATTGAACTTTTTTAGCCAAACACGTACACATATGGTAAAATGAATGTCACCATCGTGTTCTACGCCCCAAATTACCCATAAAACATGTCTCACAGGCTGCGAATATCAGTTTTGATTTTCGGGAATATGTGCCTGCCCGGTTGACCTGACCTTGACCCTGACCTATGCTTGACTGACCCCTACATGGAGCTGACACTCTTGTAGGCCTTATATGATGGATTGTGCACCGTTTTGACAGAGTTTATGACGAGAGGCGCCCTTTGCGAAGTCCTGAAGACCATGCTACTGAAAGCCCGATTTCAGGTGTTTGACCTGACCTTGACCTGACCTGTGACGTCAAAATTCAACTTTTAAGTACTCATCTGAAGCGTCTCGTCGCGTTCTTTCGTTTGCCGCCTCGTGCGTTTCGCTGCGCCTATTGGTTCTCGAGTTATCGGCCTGGGACGTTTAACGCCCCCCCCCCCCCCCCCCAGCAAACGGTGGGTGGCGAAATACCCCAGCAACTGCCGGGTTAAATCGAGACTCACATCAACAATAAAATTTATTAAAAAATCAAAACAAACATTTACTGACTTCATCACGGTAAGTACGGCATAAAAAGCATAAAACAAACATGAAACACCGCTCAGAATACACATTCACTTGTAAAACGGCTAACATTTGAGTTATTGAATCAGGATTCAGGACCCCTGATTCGCACGGAACATTCAAGCCACTAAGCATATAACTGGAGGTATCTCATCAGATCGGCGTCCATCCGTCAAAGGACAATTTCGGGAACACCTCCGGAGCCGCGGCGGGCACGTGCTCACTCCTGTGGTGTGTCTGACCTGGCGAGGGAGCCCCGTAATGCGATCCCGGCCTGGGGGGACCATAGCCAGGCTTTGGCTTTGGTTTTGGCGGACCATAGTGGGATCCTGGTCTGGGAGGACCGTAGCTAGGCTTTGGCTTTGGTTTAGGAGGTCCGTAGTGGGATCCTGGTCTGGGAGGACCGTAGCTAGGCTTTGGCTTTGGTTTCGGTGGACCATAGTGGGATCCCGGTCTAGGTGGACCGTAGGAAGGTCGGGGTTTCGATTTCGGCGGACCGTAGCTTGGCCGTGGTTTTGGAGGACCATAGTGAGTGGTCGCAGAACTATGAAAGGTTATCGGCGGAGGACCGTAAACAGGACCAGGACCAGGGATAAACCGCTTCGGCTTCTTGGAAAACAGAGTCCATGGTTTAAGGAAGGAGAAGAGGTCGAATTTCCCCCTCGGCTGATAGGGGCTTCCGATGGTGACCTGAGTGTGCTGGTGACCACCACCGTGTCTGTAGTCCTGCTGACTGTGATGCTGGCCGTGTTGACCATGATGTTCTTGATGCTGCGCATGGTGCTCCTCGTGGTGACCGAAGTGCTCTCCGTGATGTTCCTCGTGTCCTTGACCGTGGCCTTCATGATACTCTCCATGAGCCTCGTGATGACCCTCGTGATGACCTTCGTGATGTCCTCCGTGATAGTCGCCATGATGTTCGTAGTCGTGATTGCCGTAGTCGCCGTGATCGGGGCTCGGTCTGGCGCACGGCAGCTGTTCAAACTCCACGTCAAAGCCGCCGGACACGGTGCCAACCACCTCAGACACAAACTCAACGTGCGCGACCGCTCCTTCAAAGGTGAAGCGACGCGCGTAGCCAGGCGGATGAGATCCACAGACTCGCTCCTGTAGCTGGCCGACCTGAAGGAACTGGACGGGACACACAGGCTCCTCAGGGGCCAGCTGGAAGTGACGCACGCGCATTTCCAGGGTGCACGAGGACGGTACGGTCCTCTTGATAACCAGAGAGCAGTGGGTGGCAGGCGGTGGGCCAGGGAAGTTGGGTGAAGTGAAGCGCACCAGAGCGCCATTGGAGCTCAGCTCGGCGCGACAGGTACCAGGAGTTGGTACCGGAGGCACAGGTACTCCGCAGTCAACCTGTCGCAGCTGCAGCAGGAACCGGCCTCCCGGGCCAACCACATCTGAGCGAAACAGCAGCTCGGCAGCGGCGTTCCGGAACGGAATGCGACGCACTTCGCCCGGCTCCGCCCTGCAGATTCGCTCTCCGCCGAACTCTATGAAGTCTCCTCGACATCCTTCGGCACCGAACGGGCCTGGGTCCAGCTGGAACACGTCAAAGCGTACCTCAAGCTCGCAAACGGACTCGTCGGCCTTCTGCAGAGAGTAGACGCACGAGACGCCGCCCGGGTACGGTCCGGGAAAGCCGGGACTGGATATCTCCACCTGTCGTCCGAACAGGGCGCCACCACAAGCTGAAGGGGGCGGCAGTGTGGGAGGAATCGGCGGGAACGGCCCAGGGCCGGGGTTGGGACCGGGGTTGGAGCAGCGCACCTGACGAAGGAGAAGGTCAAAACCCTGCCGTTGAGTGACGACGTCGGAGAGGAACGCCAGTGTCACCTGTTCTCCAGTGAACGTGATGTTGCGGACGAGTCCTGCCGGCTGCAGACCACAGAGCCGTTCACCACCCAACACGAAGCGGTCAGCCACGCAGCCCGGAGATTCCTCGAGGTCGAAGGTGCGTACGGTGATCTCAAGGGAGCAGATGTCAGGCAGGGCGCGGCGCACCTGGTACTGGCAGTCGGAGTCTGGAGGATAATCTAGCGGAAACCCTGGCGATGTCAGCTCAAACACGGGCGTTGTGATGACGAGATCGCAGGAGGGCCGAGGAGTGGGCCCAGGACCCGGCCCGCAGTTGAGCTGTTTCGCTCGGATCCTGTAGCCAGGTCCTGAGCCACGTTCGTCCGACTGGAACTGCGCTAGGAGCGTCGAAGCGCCGCCAAACGGCACGATTCTTGTCTGATCGGTCGGCAGCACACCGCAGATTCTCTCGCCGCCGATTTCGAAGAAGTCGAGAGCGCAGTCGGCTGCTGATTCTAGCGCGAAGACTTCAAAGGTCAGCTGAAGCTCGCAGACAGTTGGACCAGCGCGCTGAATTTCGTAGCGACAGCTGGTAGACACGGGGTACGGTGACGGGAAGTCGGGGCTCTCTATGGTGAACTCGGGTCCCACGAATACAGCATCACAGTCGCCACGCGGCTCGGGACCCGGTCCCGGAGGATCCACACACCGTAGCTGACGAGCCGTGATGTCAAAGCCAGAACGTTGGGTCTGATCGTCCGAGTGAAACTGAAGCTCCATGAAGGACTCCACAAAGTCGACGTAGACGATCTCACCGGGAGGTCGCAGTCCGCAGAGTCGCTGGTTACCGGCCTGGAGGAAGTCGAAGGGGCAGACCGACGTCGCGACGCCTTCGACATCGAAGGCGTTCAGAGTCAGCTCCAGTCGACAGATGTCACTGCCCGCACGGCGGACCTGGTACTGACAGATCGTATCCGGTGGGTAGTTGTTCGGATACCCTGGCGAACGGAACCGGAACGCAGTCTCGGAGAACTCCTGGAAACAGATTCCGGTCGGTGGAATGTCTGGTTCTCCAAGCAGCTGCGGCGCCGTCTGAGCTACACCAGCCCCGCTGCACGGCTCCTGACGAAAGCGTACCTCTGGAAGAGCCTCAGCAGCTGGTTCAATGAAAGCACCCTCCGAGCTGAGTGCTGAGCTCACCACTAGGTCCACCCCGCCGTGCCGCGGCTCAGTGTCCCTGGCGAGCTCCACGTCCAGCGTCATGGCATCGCTGGTGAAGTTTCTGACGACCTCGACAGCACTGGAGAGCTGTTCACAGAGAGGCTGCCCGTCCATTTCGAGTCGGGCGGTGTCACAGCTCAGGGAGCCGGGTTTGATCAGCTGCAGACGCACGGCGCAGTGGTCCGGCCGTCGCTGAAGACGGAACAGACACGGCGCTTCTTCAGTGGGCCGCAAGACGCCGTCCAGCTGATCCACGAGCACCACGCAGCTGCTAGAGACGTCGGGAAGGAACTGGCTGGTTTCGGCCGAAGTAGCGCCACGGCCTTCGATGGAAGAAGAGATGCCAATCTGGGAGCTTTGAGTATCACTGCCGTCGCTGTAGACTACTTCACTGATCTGGCCCGAAGTGATCATATCGTCTTGAACAAGACCGGAGGGAGTTTGTACATCGACAGACCGACCTTCGTCTTGGATAGCGCCGAAATCGCCAGTTGAACTGGATGATGACACGCTACCCTCAGAGCCAGAGACCAGGCCTTCTTCGCTTATGAGTTGATCGTTCTGCAGACTAAAATCACTATTGACTTCAGGTAACTCACTGGTCTGTGTTGATATCACATCACTGTCTTGACTCGAAGTCAGGTCATCCTGCTGGGTGAAGGCCAAGCTGCCCTGTTCTCCGCTGTTGAATACATCTAGCACACTTTCCTCCTGGGGCTGCTTCTGAAGGCTTGCCAGCTGCACTAGTGTTTCACTCGGTTCAGGAAACACCAGTAAAGGCGTGGTCGTTTCAATAACTGTCTCGGATTCTTGTTCTCCAGTCTTATTCGTCACTGCTGCGAAGAACGCGTCTAGGGACACCTCGCTTCGGTTCAGCTCCGCACTGACATCAGCACTGATGGCAGAGGTCAGTGAGGTCACGCAGGTCAGGTAGATGACAAGAGTGACCCTCACTGAGGTGACACAGCGCGGCGCGGCGATTCTTGACCCGGCCATCGAGCCGACCGGCGAGCCCTCGCGAGACCGTCCACCGCAGAGCACCGATCAGGTACGAGTCGTCAAAAAACGTCCAGCACCAGCAGTTTTATTGAGCCTATTTGTTCTCGGGGTTTCCGAACAAACCGTCGAGGAATTGGGTGAGTCAGCGCGCCTTCCAGGCACACCGTGCCGGCCGGGCGGTGGTGTTTGCTTTTGACGTACGGCGCCGCGCTGCTAGAGAAAGTGTCATTTCCGCAGCAGTTCAGCCTTCAGCCACAGGACCGCGGAGGGTGAGGGGGTGAGGGCGTGGAGGAGAGACCACCGGCTCAGCTCCTGCACGGCCGGAACCCGCCGGAACCGTCCGTGTGTGGATCGATTTCATGACGGAAACGGTGTTTGTAAAGCTGGCTGTTCGCAGTACGGGACAGAGTACGTGATGAGCGTTTAACGGCGACCGGGGCTGAAGGTGGAGGAGTGACGTCACCAGCCAGTGAGCAAATGAGACGTGACTTCGCCGCCTCATCGAGTCACTGGAGTTTACATTGTCAAGGTCATGGCCATCCAGACGGGGGAAAATCCGAGTGACAAATCTTGTCCAGTAAGGAGGGCTAGAATCCGGATCTTATCCCCAGCTGGGTCTTCGAACTGCGAGATAAGCAGAACTATGCCAAGTGTGTCGTGTGATAGAAATAGTTCCAACCTACCTGCTGTCTCAGGCCGAAACACGCATAGTTAACATTTTCGGTAGAACAAAGTCGATCAGGTAGCCTTCATTGACTATATTGGACCATACATACTAGGTCTTGAGCATGTAACGTGTAACATCAATAAAAACGCATAACTTATTTACCGTCTTCAACATGCGACTGATATTTATGCACCATGACCTTTTTCGGTCAGGACATGACCTTAATTTCAGATCAAATAGGTATTCGTGTTATTGTTTTACGGTAAAAAAAGTTGATTCATGTTCCACTCGACGAGAGAACCACGATGCAGCAAAAAAGATATGTCGTGCACGCATTTTTTAGTTTTGTATCGAAAGCTATTTCAATACAAGCATTTTTTGACACAGTTATTATAAGCATAATTAAGAAGTGAGGTCCTGCGAGTCGTTTGATGCCACTTACCACCACTGTTTAACTACAATTTGCAGTGAAAATTTGAGGATCGTGACTATTGTTGAGCTACCTAGGTCAAACGGACAAACGGCAATTAATGCCGTAGAGTGGTCTGGGTCACGTATTCGCTATATCAATAGCTCAGTTGTGTACTCGATATCAAGGTGTTAGGAATTCGTCCAAAATGCTGGCTAAATATGGGAAAAACTTGCTCTACATTGGATTCAATCATTCTGCCTTACAATTCACTTAGATTTAGATCGATTTAGATTGGCAGGTAATTTTGAGTTTCATCGCGCCCGTATTTTGAACAGGTTCTAAGAATAGTATGTAGTCTTTAGACACCGTTTCCCATTCATTGAACGACAACTCAGAACACTAATGACACGACATCTATGTACTTACTGTGCGTGACATTTTCGAAAGCACCCTGTTTACTTATTAGGTACATGACGAACCCTTAATTGAAATTTCCATATTCGTGAAGAATCGTCCCATCATATACCGAAGAAAGCTCGTATTATCCTCGCCGTGACGTTGCACTTCGCCAATCACCAAAATCAGGTGACGTGGGATGTTTCGTTATGCATTTTGCGAGTAAATCTAATAAAAGCTGCAATCATCTTATTATGATCGGTGAACCACCACTAATGGTGCACGGTGTCTATGAACATGAAGCTTTATGTAGGCCACATTGTAACGTCAGTTACCAGCTGTGCAATAAAACATCATCCCATAATGCTGCAAATAGGACGGAAATAAAACGTTTAAAATAGCCCTGAGTCGCTTCAAAATATTAGCGATAGACAGATAAGAGCATAAATTGAAGTCAAGCAAATAAAAAAGCGTCGCATAAAAAGAAATGTAAAATAATGACGCGTCTGACCACCACAGTGCCGGTAAAGCAGACGGACTGTGGGCGGACTGTGCCAAAATCATGACAGCTCTCAGTCAGACAACATTGCCCGAGAGTCCGACCCCGGTGAAACCATGCCGGACATTGCATTAAAGTGAGAGGGAGAGCCGAGAGACGGTTTAGCACAGGAACAAACCGACACGGACCAAACTCGTCGCCTTAGCGAGTCGTCGCAGCACGTCGCTATAACAGTCCGACCGGGCTCACCTGAAACCTAATATCCGCACCAACACTTTCTATTAGCTATGACTTATCGCAGACCGCATATTTGACTCGGTGTTGTAACGAGATCTAGGCAGAGTTTGGCACCAGCGACGGCGACGACGGAAGACGGGGGAGGGGGAGGGACAGACGACGGCTATATGTATGTGCCCAGCGCACCGCGCGGCCTACTCTTGGAGTGTGGCGCGCCTGTATGCAGGGGCGCCGCCACGGATTTTTTACTGGGGGGGGGGGGACGGACTGACCGACTGAAAACCCATGAAAGTAGGCATTCTTACCGTGGCTTTTTTGGTCCGATGCATTCAAAGTTTAAAGCAAATATGCCACTTTTACCATTGGGTTTTGAACTGAAGTAACAGTTTTGTAGCCTGAGCTGAGACGAGAACAAATCAGGAGCTTTTATGGCTCAACGATCACCCTAGCCAAATATATCTGTATCGATTTTAGGTTTGAAGACTGAAGTCATTCCCATAATTACACTTTGTCATTCCCTTACCGAGGAATCCATTCCCTTACTGAAAAATGCCAGCCAATCAGCATTCAGCTGGTTTGAACTACGTAATCTGATTGGTCAACGCGTAATCAGCTTCCGCTGCAATATAGGTAAGGCCGCTACGAAAGACGGAAATTGGTTCTTATGTAAAAATAAAAAAAAACATTTTGCAAATATTCATTATGTTATTTCCTGACCATTTTAAGCATAAAAACTCATAAACCTGTGGCAAAACAACTGGTTTGAGGAAAGTAGTTTAGGCATTTCCTTTCGGTAATGGCTGTAGACCGAATTCCCACCGAGTACCTACCTATATACACATCTGTTGTCCGATTCAATTTTTGACATGGCAAAGCCTCTAGTGCCTCATCATCAGGGTATAATTGCTGATGTATACCACTAATCTGATCGGTAATGCATATTGCATAGGTAATGCATATTGCATACCCTCGTGGGGGAGGAAGCGTTGTATAGTTACAATCTCTCTGTCTGGCTTGTGCATGAATCGGCGCGAAGCGCCGCGAAAATTGGCAAAAAACATCGGGGAATATTTGTTTCTGGTCCCTAAAAAGCTGTTTCTGGCACCTAACTGCTGATCAGCCCCAAAATGCTTATTCGACCCTAATATCTGAATCTGGCACCTAATTGCTTCCACACAGCCTAAAGTTGCCAGATCGTCTAGTTGAACTCCGTATTTGCTGTTTGCTGATTCAGCACCAAAACCAAAACATCCAGCACCTATTTTATTCCACGTTTGCCTACCACGTTCGCGTAATCTTCCTGATTTTATGTATCCTAACAACATGAACGTTGCATTCGGTGATGTCAAGTGCCATTTTCGCCAGTGGAGATAATGATTAATGCCATTTCTAGCCAAAAGAAAATCACTAGCCAGCTATGGTGCAGCATAGCAAGACGCTCCTATACCAGCCCGCTATGTAGAGACTAGAGATTTCAGATTATTGCACCTTCAGCCATTTTAACGTGAAAAGTTTGGATCCGTCACTTCCAGCCAGGCTCTCAGGTCATAAACTGGAGTAAAGCAAAATGTCAACTCTGAACAGACATGCCACGCAACCGGCCCTCTTTTCAATATTATTAGCTTTCTGCAGTCATCGTCTGACTCCATCTCGATCAAACGCAGCGGCAGCATCCGGTTTCTACAGGGGCGTTTGACTGACCGGCCACACAATAACCAAAAACAAAATCAAAGCTTCATGCACACATATGACATAAGTAAGAAACGGATGAAAAAGGCACAACCACGGCACAACTCTGCGCGGCAAACAACGGACAATGTCCCACGCAAGATCCCGCGTTTCTTCAGCGGCCTTGAACGGAATGAAAACATTACCTACATTTCTTTTTTGGAGCTATTTGATGACGTCAAAAAATACAATACCCGTTTTAATGGTCAAAATCGAGACAATTACTCACAAAAATGTTTCCCTTTAAGCATTACAAATAAATACTTTTAAATATTTAAATGACATTGTTTTTTTTCAAACAAATCAATATTATTTGCTTACTTAAACGTCATATACAATGCTGAGATCACTACGGGGCTGTCTTAGAGTGTAGCTGCACTGGCAACCTTTAGGCTAGACTCCAGGGGTCATTATACCAGAACAAGATGATTCTACCAGCCAGTAGTTCATTTTTCTACTAGATTGGTGCTACGCTCAGCATTTAGGTGCCAGATTCAGAAAAAAGAGTAAGGCGTACCGATGAATAGGTGCCAGAAACAGCTAATTAAGGTCATTTTCCATGATTGGTGCTGGTATCCACCAAATAGGTGCTGAGGACCAATTTTGGGGCGAGTCAGCTTTTAGGTGCCAGAAATAGCTTTTCTGGGACGCAATTAAATGGCGTCCAAAAACATCAGGCAAAACTGCTCTAAAATACGAATTTTGCAGCCGTTTAACAAGCTTGATACCAGAAAACCTTAGGTCAGGTCACCAAGTCAAGTAGTCAAGTCGCCTCAAAGTTTTGTGGCCCTGTCAACGGTATAGCTTATTTCCTAGAAGCTGAAAATTTAGTGTAGTGTGACTGCAGAACTGTGGGGTCTGAGCCGGAATCAGTCGGAGTTGACAGTTTTGGCCAGAGTCGGAGTCTTGAGTCGGAGTCTTCGAAATTGTTCGGATTTTGACTCCGAGGTCGGATTGGTTTAAAGTCATGCTCTTGGCTGGTTAGACGAAATATACTATGCCCGTTTTCGGCCAGTCGTGTTATACGACACACGTTGATCACGATATCAAAAATCGGCAGTTCCGCGATGACAGGTCGGATAAGAGCTGGAGATTTTGTTGGGCGAGGTGGCAGGGGTCAGACCAATGCATGCAGGCCCATACCCCACATACTGAGTGTCTAAACCTCCTGGACCCTCTCAGATTCGGCACCGTTCCATCGCTTCCATCCTCAGGACAGTCAAATCCTTCTCCTCCACGCTGCGATCCCCTGCTCCGGGCTGGACGGGCAACTCTATCCCATGCGGGAATGACTCCACTGGAGCTATAGTCCGTTGCCGGGTACAGTGAGTGCCAGTGGGCAGGGCTGCCTGTTCAATTGGTCGAGTTCAGCCCAAGTGGCTCACTGGGGTGGCTGCCCAGACCAATTTCTCCCACTAATTCTCTCATCCTTCCGGCTCTGAAATGGTCTCATTGGACCGAAGGGCCTAATCAAATTTCGAGTAGGAAAACAACCAGTAAAACGCCTTTTGGGGCGACCAACGGAGCGAGCGAGGGGGTGGGCCTTTCACGTGCGAAATTGCGAGGGGGTACCTCCGCACAACTTGTGCACTGCACCCTACTAACCGGTTTCTAACGATGTGCCAAATTTGAGCGCAATCGGCCTAGCCGTTCTCGAGATCTGTAAGCGGCACCCTGCACGTGCGCACTTGCAAAATGGGTCCCAACTGACTTGCACGGCACCCTAATAACCGGTCCCTAACCATGTGTCAACATTCAGCACAATCGGTTCAGCCGTTCTCGAGATCTGGAATCGACCCCTGCACGTGCGCACGTGCAGCAGCACCCCAACTGTGGCACATGGTCATGGATATGCATTGCCTGGTGGGTGCCTAGTGCCTACCTACCTACCTGCCAACTTTCAGCGCAATCGGCCCAGTATTGTTACCGAGATACCTATTGCAATTGTTACAAAACTGACACCTCTTCGTTTTTCAAGTGGCGGGTGCATAATGGGTCACCCACATGCATCGATAATAGTTTAATACTTGTTAGAAGGAATGAAGCTACCCTACAAAAATTACCGCATGTAAATCAGTCAAGTGGTTCCTGAGACATAAGTCTCGCAAAAGCGTGACCACGGCCGGCCGGCCGCTCGTACTCAGGAATTTCCCGAAAGACTACGCTCGCTTCGCTCGCTCCGTAATGAGTTTGGGGGGGACGTCTCCCTTCCATTCTGAGAGTGGGGGGGACGCGTCCCCCCCCCGTCCCCCCCGGTGGCGGCGCCCATGCCTGTATGTTCGCCTCGACGCAGTGCTGCGCGGAAGGAAACCGACACGTGACCGGAAGTACAGTCCTGGGGCGGAACGGCGATACCAAATGCCGATGTGAACAATATGGATTAGCGAGCCGCTCACCTAGTGTGTCTTAGTTCGAATTGATCATGGAACGCGCATATGTGTGGAACGGAGATGGTCATTGGATGATATTGAAGCTCCAAGGCCCGTGTGCTTTGGTAGTAATAAGGCATGATCCAATATCAATTAACGAAATGCGGTCGCCTTGATAGACAATGAAATATGATTCGTATATGTGCATTGTGCGTTGCATCTGTGAGCCATGGCTCATTCTCGAGGAAGGACCGAGTTGTTTGGCTGCATCTAGTAGTTCATGTGAACTGGCAATATTGATGACTTATCGCAATGACTATTACAATTATTTGGCCGCGTAAAACCGTTTAAGTTATAGTCTTATCGAAGCATAACACCACAATTACTACAAAATGTTTGAGAAAAATTATTGGTTGTATGGGCATTAATATCGCGGAAGCGAAAAGCGAAAACAAAGTAATCTTTTTAGCGTATATTTATAAACCCCAATGCCGACACCATTGTAACAAATATCGTATTAGGTATCCACCCCAGTAACTTTACGGAGTTAGTTCACTCGGTAAATGCCAACGGAATGTGTACGCCACCTTATCCCTACAGGTTGGTATAGGTAGTGGAAACAAAATGCCCTCAGTGGTTACTAAGTCATCCAAGTAAGGCACAATTCATTCAACACTTTTCAGAATACAATTCGACTCCACGTCTAGCCACGAAAAATCTTCAAAAAACACTGGCATCTCCATAATTATTGGTGTCGCCCCTTGATTTATCTTAGCTTCTACCAAGACGAGCAAACACTACACAGCTCTCACACGCTCACATCATTCTCACACCCAGATCTCTGTTCTATCCACACTACCGCTATATATGTCGCTCTAACCACTGTTAAGCCCGGCCGAGTACCGTGGTGAGTAGCGCCATGCGCACATACATACCATACTCGGCCTGTCGGAAGTACGCGGCGCGCGGATCACCGTCCAGCTCAGTGCTCACCTCATCCACACGAGGTAGAGGGTGCAGCACCACCGTACGCGGGCCAGCCAGTGTCATCAGTTGAGGGGTGAGCACCAGACGCCCGGCGCACCGCTCGTACTCGGCCGTGTCGGCGAAACGCTCCCGCTGCACGCGCGTCATGTAGATGACGTCGGAGTCGGGCAGCGCCTCCTCCAGGGAGGTACAGTGGGTCTGTTTCACCGCCTGGGCGGCCACAAAGTCAACCACCTGGAGAAACAGACGGGAGGCATGTCAGTGAGGAGAACAGCGGTGACTACATAGATCTAACATTCATCCCGTGCGTCACCTTCTCGAGCTATGTTTTTTAAAGTAACATCTACTGTCATTTCACATGCCTATCATCTCGCTATGGGTTTTCAGCAGTGGCGGATCCAGGGGGGGGGGGCTGCGGGGGCTGGCAGCCCCCACCCAAGGAAAACTGGCGCCACTGCGCCGAAGGCGCAGTGGCGCCAATTTTCAATTCGCAACTCATCGGAGTGCCGCATACTAGGACTAGGATGCAAAAATCAGTCGAATAACGTCGTTTCAGTACGCTCCGCACCGATATTTCCAATCGTGTGGTGTCACTGTACATACTGATCCTGGGCGCCTCTTGTCAGGGCCACTGGGCGCCAATATTTCAGCGCCAATACGATGCGACTATGGCGCCCATCCGGGGCGTGGCGCCCAATTATGACCTGCAGCCCCTCCCCAGTGAAAATCCTGGATCCGCCACTGGTTTTCAGATAAGGATCAGCTGCCCAAACTACTCCTTATTAACTATAACTAACGACACATTGTTTCCCAATCATGCTAATAACACATTTAACTGGTAACAAGCACCGCGCCTCTATATCTGAGCACATATTTTCCTTTTCCGAACATACCATATATGAATCGTCACACGATTTTCCACTCTAACGAGCGCCTCTCTCACCTCCTGAGGCATCTCCAGTCCCGGAGGACAGACGTACTTCAGGTGCACCTTATAGAGGGTCAGCAGGCGCGCCAGCGAGTGCACGGTGCGCCCGTTCTTCAGGTCACCCACCTGTGACACGAGGTCAGCGGTCAGAGGTTATAGACGGTCAGGTCAGTGAGAGGTTAAAGGGAGAAGGGATTTGGTGATCGAATGATCACATATGGTAGAGTCAATGACGGTTCGGCACGAAGTATGGCTGGGGAAAGGGATTTGTAGGGCATCAGTCGGTGTTGTTTCAGATGTTGGGCTGAAGGATTAAATAGTTTCTGGTTGTTTGGCTCGATGGTGAGGGCTAACAAAAGTCAGACGGAACTTAGGAATATTCTTTACTGACAAGTGACACCGGCATATTCAACGTGTTGCGAGTCGGAAATTCGATTGGCCTCCCTGAGCCCGGCCATCGCATTTGAACAATATTCCAACAGTGACAACCTTATCACCATTCATGAAGGAAATGCCGCTCAGAAAACCTAATACCACCGCAGGTCGGCACAGCATTGGCACGTGGGAAATCCCAGAGTTATATACTGGATAAACCTGCAAGCAAAGTCATCCCTCCCGAGTTGAGGCCATAAACCGTTATCGGAGAGCACTGTGCCGTTTAATCAAGACATGACGTCAAAATTCTTACATGACGTCATTATGGTTTACAATGGGGTGCCGTGGAATAGGTATAGCGATGGCTTCACTTGTCAATTTCTCTTCATTGCTGCGTTGAGTGTAGATTGCGCGACCAAAGATTCAGGGGTGCGGCTACATATCTCCCGCTGAAATTTCGATAGTGCAAAGGTCCTTACCTTAGCTACCGTTCACTATTGATTGAGTGGCTACCTGAGTGGCTGACCTAATGGCATCACGCGATCTTTTCAATGTGACTGATAGCTGTCCTGATGTCTGTTCCAAGTGCCTTAATGCACCTTATCATTGATAAAGACGTCTAGCCGGACTCAGGTAGCATTACTGCATGTCGGACGGCATACAGCCATGTCAGCTCAGGTTCTCGGAGAGGGAGCAACTTTTCCTATAATGCTCTGAAGAAACGCCTAATCAGATATGAGTAACTTTCTCTAAAGTACTGTGTGACAGCGTTACGGTAGCTGTGTGAAATCGTTAAACACATCAAATGTCGGCATGCAATAGGTACTGCGATTCGTCAGTCGGGTCTGTTGCACATAAGAGAGGAGAAGTATCATTATTGACAGATTATTTTTAAGAGGGCTTTTCATGCCATGCTATAAACTAAGGGTGCCATTATAGCACCACGTCTAACTTCTCAAGAGCAAATACCCAAAGCCTAGCATGCACAACTGGGCCCATCTCTCATTTCTTTTCCAGACATCGCATGAACCCGTAAACGATTTAGCTCAAATTTAGTAAGCCCTTATTATTTTTTTTTCACAACTCGTGACTTGGATGGTCATCGTGCTCGGTTACCATGGTGATAATTTGCGTCGCCCCGTGTCCAGTTACCATGGTGATGGTGAGTCCGTTGACGGTGCCGATCTCCTCTCGGATGGTGAACAGGTCCAGCAGTGCCTGGGTCGGGTGCTCGCCCGTGCCGCTGCCGGCGTTGATGACTGGCCGAGGGCTGACCTCCGCCGCCCGGCCGGCCGCCGTCGGCGACGGGTGACGTAACACGATGACGTCACTGTAGCCGGCCATAGTGCGCACAGAATCTGCACGAGTGACGTCAGACAGTGACGTCATACGGACAGGGAACTCGAGATCCGCGCGGTGATTCTGTGCCGGAAGATCGCGGGTTGACCTCGAGTTCATAGGACGAGTAGTTTTCACAGTCATAATGACACTTAAGGCACAACAGAGAAAGAGCAGCCCACCGAATCCCACCCACACAAACTTCTACCACAATTCCTCATATAATAAACCCGAAGCTTTTATCGTTAGCATTCTACCCCATAAAAGCGTTGACACTCGCTAGTATAAAACAATCACCCACCTTCCAGAGTCTCGCCCTTTTTGACGGAGGAGGTGCTCTCGTTGAAGTGTAGCACGCGCCCTCCGAGACGCTGCATGGCGCTGTCGAAGCTGCAGGAGGTGCGGGTGGACGCCTCATAGAACATGAGCGCCATCACCTTACCCTGAGGGAAGGAGCGGGAGGGCTCAGGGCTTATCACATAACATGCAGGGTATGAGCGCCATCACCTTACCCTGAGGGAGAAGCGGGGGCCAGGAGTTTATCACTCATCTAGAAAATCAATGCTCAAGGGTCTAGCCCTAAGGGAGAAGGAAGGGATTTAGGGCAGTCAGGGTGAGTCGCAGTCTGTTGAATTTTCAGGCAAGAAGATTCAAATCGAAGATATAATAGCATATAGGGAATATCGCACTCACATCATCGCTCACATCACTCAAATCGCTCACATCACATTCGATTTCCCGCCGTCCGTTCTTCCTAGCTTCTTCCTTCCCTCCGTCCGTCTAGAGAACCATCCAACCCTCATCCGTTCCTTCCCCGTCCGTCTGTCCGTCTGTCCGTCTGTCCGTCTGTCCGCCCGTCCGTCCGTCCGTCCGTCCGTCCGTCTGTCCGTCTTTCCGTCCGTCCGTCCGTCCGTCCGTCCGTCCATCCGTCTATCCGTCCGTCCGTCCGTCCGTCCGACCCACCTTGAGCACATGATCGAGCGGCCTGTCTTTGGCCACACTGGTACGGTACGTCCCAGCCAGGTAGAAGATCCGGTAGAGCGCGTCTCGACTGAAGTTCTCCGCTGTCAGTACGTGGCTCAGCTGTGCTGCTGAGGGCGCGGCGTGGCTGGTCGGCGGGGGACGCGGCGACGGCGCGCGCTGCCTCGAGCCGCCGGCCGTACCGGCCCGCGGACGACTGGGAGGGGTGGACGCCAGCGCGGGACGCTCCAGAGCGTGGATACCCAGACTCTCGGCGGCTGCAGGGCGGGCAGCAATGAAGCGTTGGTTAGTGGTTAGCGACTCATTGATTATCTGCTATAATTTGATGTCGTCTGAATATCATCTTATACTTTTGCTACTAATGATACAGTCCTGCTATATTATTCAATATTCCAGGCATAAAAACAATCAGTTACAGTTTTGGTATGCAAAATGCAAATCTGTCGTAAATTTCCTTTCGAATACCGTACAATTCAGTCGTATACACAGCTCGCCAGCACACATCTCTCCCATCCTGTTCCCCTTCCCTCCCCTGATCGCACCTGCAGTAAGTCGATCGTCTGTCCTGCCGGCGGTGGCGGTGGCGGCGGCGGCGGCCGGCACGTGCCAATCGCGCTCCTCCGTCCACGGCATCACCACGGTCTCCGGCTGGACGGCCGGCGGCGGCGGCAGCAGCGGCTGCAGCTCCCGCACGTCTCGTCCTGAGCCCGGCGTGGCCAGCACACGTCCATCCACCATGGCCACCTCACCTCGGAGCACCACCCGCTTGACGGCACCGGCCACCGCGCGGCCGGCGAACGGAGTCCACATGGCCTTACTGCGGGGCGGGGTGGGGAGGGGAGGTTAGCTACTGCATGGAAAAGCAGCCAGCACCGCTCGTGGAAATTATCTACCAACGACGTAGTTTGTTTGTTTGTTTGTTTGTTTGTTTGTTTGTTTACGTACGTGATAATAAATGATAGGAGCATTAAGCGTAAGCGTTTATGCAGCTGCTGTACTCTGGTCACATTTGAAGAATATCGTAAAAGATCAACGCGACCAACTTGAATTTGACGCATTATTTTCTCTGGGGAAAACTCGCATCGACTTCAAACGCACACAAATATTGAACGTTTGACAATCTAAGCATTAACCACACTTTTACTGGTATACTTCTCGGCACCTGTGCGCGGGAGCTTCTGGAATCGAGTAGGTCTCGTCCATGTCTACTTCGATGTAGGTGTTGGGCTGCTCTGGCAGCTTGAAGATGCGCCGAGGGTTGTGGTGCAGCTTGTCCTCTAGGTCCTGGAAGAGACAGAATGCCGAGGTCACGCGTCTAAAGGAGTGATACATGTTAGACACTAAACGAGGAGTATGCGTTGAAGTGGCCACTTCTTTGAATTCAAAGACATCGTATAAGAATGTATCCGTTTAAGAACTTAAGCTGCACTTGAGTTTAAGTCAAGTATAAGTGACAAATAAATGCCTATTTAAATAGAAAATAATGAAGAAGTACTGGTGCATAGTTATAAAATTGCATTATTGTACTTTAAAAATGCTTGCGCCGTGAACATCACAAATAACGCTGTGAGTTAACCCTGACTGAATCACATAGCAAACATACATGTTCAATTGTTCGCTTTATCCACTTTATTACTTCCTGTCATTCCGGAAAAAGATAGCCGGCAGGCTATAAGGCAATCAGTCAGCAACGAGAAACAACTCCACGTCTACCCACCCAGACGTTATTTCAATCGTTGGACAAACAGAGCAGAACCCACGCTCACTCAGTCGTGACCTTCCGTTTGCGTCACCCCGAGCTTCCGCGAGCCAATCAGCGTGCAATCAGTGCCTGGTGATCGGCAGGTGACATATCACGGATCAGTGAAACTGAGCCCCCCCCCCCCGCCCCTATCACCGTAGACCGGGGATAGGGGGAGGGGTGGGATGTCCCGACAGCTCGCCTCTCGAGGGACCCCACTCAACCCCACGGAGCTTGCCGAGGTGGTAGCTGTGCGTCATATGGATTACTGCGGATTACGGTGAAGGATTTCGGGTGCAGCAGAACGGCTACCGACCACGCGAGCAAGGCGTGATCTGTATACTCGGCTAGAGAGACTGGGGGTGTGATAGGGGCTCTCACTGAGGAAGCACAAACAAATCTCGGCGTTCCATCGTCGGAAGGATATATGGCGGGTCATAAAGGGTTAGTCGAGTGGGTGTTCAGCATGCCAGTTGATGCGAAGTATGTTAGTGACAGGGCATAATGACTTAACCCACGCCCGGCTGGGGGTCCTGGATTTCCACACCCTGCTGGGGGGGGGGGGGTGTTTGAACACCCCCCTTCTAACTCGGCTCCTGGGCCACGTAGCGATACGCCGAAGGCGGCGTTCGAAAGAGCGTCAAAAATAATGAGGAAATCACTTTGGTCAATTTTTTGGTCAGGTCAAAGGTCAGGTCACCAGAGGTCATTGAAGGCAAAATTTCGCCGACTTCCAGGTCGAATGTCGACAATTTCCAAGAAGCCAACGCATAACTCGGGAACCAATAGAGCTACAGCGCCGCGGAAAAGCGCATTCGATAGCCCTATTAACGCCCTTTCTGAGTAATTCTCTCAGATGTGACCTAACGTCAACGGTTTTGCCTGCAGGGGGCAAAAACTGCAAAAATAGCCGATTTTTTCGGAAACAGTTTTTCTGCAATAACTTTTGACCCAAGCCTTGTACGAGCTTACTTTTACCGGCATCGTGTTCCTCTCGTCAAGACGCATCGAATGAACTATAACTTGACCTTGAAAGGTCAACTTGACAATTTGACCTCAGGTCAAGGTCATGACCTGACCGGAAAGGGTAATGTTGCATATCAGTCGATCCGTGTCGTCGAGCTGAACACATCTGAGGCGTTTTCATCGCTCTAGCATGCCTCTATCAAAAGTTATTTGCGAAAAACTGCTAGATACCATTCGTGACCTAAGATGACCTCAGGGCATAAACAGGGGTCACGGACACCATTTTTTTCATGTTCAGTGTGTCTATACCACTTGTAATTCAGTGTTTGGGAGTGTTTATAATGTCTTTCGTCCAAAATAGGCGCATTTCAATTTTCTCCCATTGACTTATAATGGGGAGGTCGCAAAATTGACCTGACCTTAGGTCATCGATATCAAAATTCTGAGATATACATTTTGTACATGCTATTGCTCTTAGCAATCGCTAAAAGTTTCAAAGCGATCGGTCACTCGGTGTAGCTATGACAGACATTGAAACTTTTTATGAGGTGAGGTCACTTCAAGTGACCTGGTGACCTGACCTTGAACGACCTTGGTCTGAAATTTTCACAACATGTGTAGAATTGATGTATGATAAGGTGTACCAAAAACGGCGGCGCTACGCGCCGCCGTTTTTGAGATTTTCGCGAAAAACCACAAGGGGGGTGTTCAAACACCCCCCAGCAGGGCGCGGGTTAAGTTAGTGCAGCTAAGAGAAAACACGAAACTCAAACCTCCAGGTCAATATTTGTTGACCGACAAAAAAGCGTTGAGTGGACACAGACTGGATCCTCCAGTGTAAGACAGTGCAGTCTGTGCCGGTGGCGTTCACATTACACGGACAGACCACCCCAGCGGCTGGTCCGCGCCGGCTCCCTGGCGGTTCTGTCGGCCGCGTGTGTGACGATCACGGTTACCTGCATTGTGAGTCGTCCCTGGTTGACTGCAGTAAGCAGCAGCGGCAACATCGTCTCCAGGCCCGGGAAGCCCGGCGGCGGCTTCTCCGACCGCTTTTCGGCCACCGTGTGGGGCGCTGTCAAAGGAGGAAAGACACAGCTGAACATGCTACTGCTGAAATCAACCATCTCGATAGACTGCATCGTAGTGGACACTACAGTACGTACATGCAGCTCTTGTAAGACTCTACAACATACCACAGCTCTTGACAGACTGCACAGTAAACAGCGATACACTACACCTACAGCTCTCGATAGACTGCACCGTAATGGACACCGCCTACAGCCCTTCATAGTTGATTCCGTATCGCAATACACCACAGCTCTAGGTAGACTGTACCGCAGTACACAACAGCTCTAGGTAGGCTGCACCACATTACACCACAGCTCTTTGTAGGCTGTACCGCAATACACCACAGCTCTAGGTAGACTGTACCGCAATACACAAAAGCTCTAGGTAGGCTGTACCGCATTACACCACATGTCTATGTAGGCTGTACCGCAATACACCACAGCTCTAGGCAGACTGTACCGCAATACACAACAGCTCTAGGTATGCTGTACCGCATTACACTACAGCTCTTGATAGGCTGTACCGCAATACACTACAGCTCTTGATATACTGTACCGCAATACACTACAGCTCTTGATATACTGTACCGCAATACACCACAACTGACAGCTCTGAGTAGGCTGTACCGCATTACACTACAGCTCTATGTAGGCTGAAACGCAATACACTGTAGCTCTAGGTAGACTGTACCGCAATGCACTACAGCTCTAGGTAGACTGTACCCATGGGCGTCGAAACCGGGGGGGGACGGGGGGGACGCGTCCCCCCCAGTCGAGGAATCCGGGGGGGACGTCCCCCGCAAAAATATCCTCATGAATGATTTAAAAAGTGACCCACGACATTGGTGTATTGTCGTTTTGGGATGAAATTGCGGATACCTACTCGTATACAAATTGAATCTGCGAATTGCTGACACTGTACCCTTGCTTACAGGGCTGCGGAGTAGATGATTTTGGTAATTCCGACTCCGGCTTAAAAAAAAAAAACGCTCGGAGTCCCCGCTCCATCTCCGACCACGGCATCCCTCGGCCCGCATCGGAGTGAAAAAACATGTGATGTGATGCTTTTGTCTCTTTGAACGTTTCCTGGCACATAAAAGATAACATTGCCTACGAGGTGCAGCTCTGGACTGTCCGTCCCAGGTCGTCGATAGGGAGCCAAAGCTCCAGTTGTAGGGGCGACCATATCCAACAAGGGCTGAAGATCTGTCCCAAAGTCTCAGAGTGCAGTAGGACAACAGCTTGCAGAGACCACACATTTTACATAGGATATTCGTAATAGTCAAGACCTTCAGCTCACTCTCAAACGGCCCTCTTCCCGTTCGAGGCCATCCGACAGCAGAAGGTCTCACCATGGCCTTTGAACGCTTGATGCTTGAGGGTGAGAGGACCTCGTCCTGGTCTGAGAGAGCCCAGGAGGACGTAATGCTCAGTATGCCCCTATATTGGTCTTACCATGACCCCTACAATCACCACAGCCAACAGAATCTCCAGCTCTTATTCGACCCATCCTCGGGGATGACGTTGACTCTGACTTCAGAGTTGAAGTCTGTTACGATTTTGGTGACTCCAACTCCGTATCCGACCAAAACCGTCGACTACGACCGAAGTCGACTCCGACCCCGCAGTCCTGCAGCTACACTGCACAGAAGTTGGAAAAAACTGTACCTATGGTTGACAGCGGTTTACAGAGGACCACACGATTTTTTAGAGGCAGGGCTGCTGGACTTGGTGACCAGACCCTAACTGTCCTGGTATCAAACTTATTACGCGGGATGCAAAATTTATGCGTTTTGGGACTGTTTTGCCAAGAGTTTTTGCCAATTTTCGCGGCGCTTCGCGCCGCCAATTCATGCACAGGTAGAAAAGAGTGTGACTAATAACGCCTCCACGCGAGAACATGAGAACATGTGTATTGCGTATGCGTTACAAGTAGTGCATAGGCCTGAAATTGTACGCTAAACTAACTAACTTTTGGGTTTTTAGTCAGCCAATCCGTCCCCCCCCCCCCAGTCAAAAATCCGTGGCGACGCCCCTGACTGTACCGCAATGCACTACAACTCTAGGTAGACTATACCCCAATACGCAACAGCTCTATGTAGCCTGTGCCGCATTACACCACAGCTCTAGGTGTAGCGTGATGCTAATCTGTATTTCTCGCTCACTATCACACACAACACAAATAACACAGAACGTGACATATTCACGTGACACTTATCCGGCTGCCTACATCTAAGCAGCCGGCACATCCTCCGTTTTTCATTTCTGATGTGACCTACTCCTCAGCATATACGGTGACCGAGATCTCTGGTTCCCAGTGATCTGAGGTTCCGGTCCTCTCCGGGAAACCTGAGGTGGTGCTGCTGCCTCTTGGCGTGGTGGCACTCTTAGGTACAAGCTTCCGTCGCTGGTTTCTCTTCTCTTTGTCGAGTCCGTTGTGTCCTGACAGGGGCTGTACTTCCGCAGATGACGTCGATTTCTTCGGTACACTCGTCCATCCTCTGTTTTGACTGCATAGGATCGGTTGCTGTCTCGACTTACAACTACGGCGGGTCTCCATTTTTGCTGGCCGGGTCTCGGTGCCATCAGCACCGGCGTGCTGGTCTGCAGGGGAGGGAGATCTTTTGCAGTTCTGTTATAATATTTCTGCTGCTTTTCTTTTCTTTCCTGAAGGCGCCTTTCTGCAACAAGCGGTACTTCGGGATTGAGCAGTTTTCCATGGATGGGTAGCATAGTTCGAGTACGCCGTCCCATGAGTCGTTGCGCCGGGGAACTGCCGACATTTTCTGACGGTAGGTTTCGCATTTCTAGTAATGCTAGATATGGATCTGATTTTGTCTCGCATGTTCTTGTCATCATTCTCTTCATTTGCTTCACCGCGTTTTCAGCCTTTCCGTTAGACTGCGGGTGTCCGGGAGAACTCGTCGTGTGTTTGAATTCGTACATCTCAGCGAAGTCCCTGAAATCCCTTGAGTTGAAGGGAGGGCCATTGTCGCTGACGAGCTCCATTGGAATACCATAGCGTGCCATATGTCCTTTTAGCAGTCTGATGATTTCTTTCGTGGTCTTGTTGTGCACTCTGTCGCATTCTATGAAGTCGGAATAGTAATCTACAGTGACTAGATATGACCAGCCTGCAAACTCCATGAGGTCACAGCCGATCCTCTCCCATGGTCTTGCTGGTACTTTGTAGGATATGAGTGTCTCTTTCTGTTGGGCTGGCTGATAAGCCGCACATGCTGTACATTTGGAGACATAGTCTTGTATGTCTTCGTTCATGTTTGGCCAGTACAGGGCTTCTCTTGCTCTACGCATGCACGTTTGCACTCCAGCATGCGACAAGTGCACGCGTTCCAGCATGTAGCGCCTTGCGCTGACAGGTACGAAAATTCGATCACCTTTAAATATTACTCCCTTGTTGACAGATAACATGCTCCTGAGATCGAAATACCTGCGTGCTTCCATCGGTACATCACTTTTATGTTTTGGCCATCCTTTTCTGATGAGTTCTGCGAGTGTGCATGCTTCCATGTCGTTTTCTGACTCTGTTCTCAGGAAAATAGCCGTTTTGTCAGATATCGGCAGGTAGTCTTCTATCTCCAGTTGTTCTATGTTAGCTTCTTCTTGGCATCTTCCAAGTGAAGCATAGTATATTTCATCCAGACGTTCCGTGTTCGTTTCCGGGAGCTGAGCTCTGCTAAGTGTATCGGCTAGATGCATGTCAACTCCCCTCTTGTACTCTATATGGAAGTCGAATTTCTGCACCGCTAGCATCATCCGTTGCAAGCGTTTCGGTGTTTCAGCGAGGCTTTTGAGCTGTATCTGTTCCAATGGCTTGTGGTCCGACTGTATTGTCACCTCTCTTCCCAAGGTGTACCGTTCGAACTTGTTCAGTCCGTAGACAATCGCGAGCATTTCTTTTTCGATTTGGGCATGTCTCTCAGCGTTGGTGAGCGTTCGAGAGGCATAGGCGACTGGCTGACCGCATTGCATTAGACACGCACCAAGCCCCTCTTGAGAGGCGTCCACCTGGAGACTAGTCTCGTCTTTGGTACTGAAGTATTTCAGAACAGGTGCCTCGACGATCAGCTTCTTTATGGCTCGTAGAGCCTCGCCGTGGATGCAGTCGTCAAAAAGGAAAGGTGCATCATCCTTCAGAAGCTGACGGAGTGGTGCTGCTACTGTCGACAGGTTTGGGGAAAACTTTTGAAGATAGTTGACCATTCCCAGCAGCCTCTGCACACCTTTCTTATCTTTTGGGGCTGGCATGGATTGGATAGCACGCGTCTTCTCTGGGTCAACTTGTAGACCTCGATCCGTGAATAGGTGACCCATGTAGGCTACTTGTTTTTGTTTCAGCTTCATCTTGTTCATGTTCAATCTTATACCTCTTTCTCTACATCTTTCTAGCAGAGCTTTCAGTTTCCTGTCATGATCTGCGACAGCCTCTTCGTATGTGTCGCCTTCCCCGTAGATCAGAATGTCGTCGGCAATAGCCTTTATGCCATCTAGACCTTCTAGCTCTTGGTTTAGCCTTCTTTGAAATTCTTCTGATGCCACGGCTATACCAAATGGTAGGCGGTTCCATCTATACCGTCCCCAGGGTGTTCCAAATGTAGTCAAGAAGCTACTTTCTTCTTCGAGTTCGACATGCCAATATCCGTTTTTTGCGTCGCAAACAGTGAACACCTTTGCCTTCTCCAGTCGGCACGTCAGGTCATCAACTGTCGGAATCGGATACTTGTTTCTTTTCAGCTCTTTGTTCAGCGGTTTGGGATCCAAGCAGAGTCGAAGGCTGCCATTCGGCTTCTTCACTACGACTAAGGCAGACACCCAGTCAGTGGGCACTTCCACAGGTGTGATGATGCCTTCACTGGTAAGACGATCCAGCTCCTGTTTGAGGCTGTCTTCCAGTGCCACTGGAACTGACCTCGTCGCCGCCTGATGCTGTTTAGCCTCTGGAACTACTTCAAGCTTCAGTTTCTCTCGGAATCGGCCTGTCCCGGTGAAAACATCCTTGTATTCGGCGACGAGTGCCTCTTTTTCTCCGGCGGCTCCTCCCGTGGTCACGTTATTGGCTTGATGCACGGTCATGATGTTGGCGTGGTTGACATTGATGAGTTCCAAGTCCTGTACAGCACTGACCCCTAATAATGGAGTATAGTCTTGTGGTATTACAAAGAATTCCACCTGATACTCCTTCATCGTCATGGGGTTCGTCACCGTCAGTTTGCATCGCCCTTTCACCGCACTGGTCGATCCATTGTACATGACAAGCGACATCTGACATGGCTGAAGCTTCTTTAGGAGGGGGTCATCGCATGCCTTCTTGTAGACGTGCTGGGGTATCACATTGACACCGGCTCCAGTGTCGAGCTGAAACCGCTCAATATGATTGTTGCCTATCATCAAGTGAGCATGTATCTTGCCGCTCCGTGGCTGTGACATTGCACCGGTGCTCACATGCAGAATGTGACTCGTCTCTTCTAACAGATTAGTTTGCTCTCCCTGTTGAGTTGGTGTTTGAATCTCGACACCAAATGAGTTAAGGTGTGTTTCTTGTGCAGAGCTTGGTTCATCGCACTCCATACCATTCGGTACGTATGAGTCAGCCATGTCCAACATCTGTACACGGGCTCGTCTACACTTTGCGGCGACATGGTTCAGGCGACCACAGATCTGACAGGTCTTTCCCCAGGCTGGGCACTGTTCTTTTTTGAACGTGTGTTTTGTGCCACAGTATTTGCACCATCCAATGGTTGGAGTTATTCTCCGTTGTTGACCTCTTCCTCTACCATGTACTGCATGAAGGTCGGCACTTGGTGTGAAGCAAGGTTGTGTCTCTTGCTGAGTCTTCTGAGTCATCGCCTTCATCTGATCAGATGCTGTCTCATGAGCTCTTATGGTCTGCATCGCTTGGTTCAATGTCAACTCATTTTCTTGTAGAAGCCTTCGTCTGACGTTGTCGTCTTGTATACCGATAATCACCCGGTCTCGGATTAGACTTTCCTCCAGGGATCCAAAGTTGCATGTTTTTGCTAGTTGTCTCAAGCTTGTAACGTATTCGTCCACCTTCTCCTGGTTTTCTTGCTTACGTATGTTAAACTTGTACCGTTCGTAAGTTTCGTTTGGTTTGACCACGCAGTAGGCTTGGAACTTTGCTACGACCGAAGACACGGTTGCCTGTTCTTCTTCACTTGTGCACAGACCATCCAATATCAGCAGAGCCTCCGGACCGATGCACGTCAGGAATGTGGCAACCTGTACCTCATCTGGCTTCTCTTGTAAACCTGTGGCAATGGAGTAGTTTTTCCATTGTCGATACCACAGCTTCCATGTTGTGTCTAAATTATCGTGGTTTTGTCTCAGTTTTAACGGACCTGGCAGAGGCAAGTTGGCCATGACAGTGATTGCATGAAAGTATATCAGATATTTTGTTCCAATCGAAAGTTAATCATTTCAGGTCTATATGAAAAAATACAAAATATTTACAAATAAGATACCCCACTTCTGACACCATGTAGCGTGATGCTAATCTGTATTTCTCGCTCACTATCACACACAACACAAATAACACAGAACGTGACATATTCACGTGACACGTATCCGGCTGCCTACATCTAAGCAGCCGGCACACTAGGTATGCTGTACCGCAATAGTTACATGACAGCTCTAGGTAGACTGTACCGCAATACGCAACAGCTCTATTTAGCCTGTGCCGCATTGCACCATAGTTCTAGGTAGGCTTTACCGCAATACACCACAGCTCTAGGTAGACTGTACCGTAATACACTACAGCTCTTGGTAGACTGCACCGCTATACACTACAGCTCTAGGTAGACTGTACCGCAAAACACCACATTAACTGATATTCGGCCGTAGTCTCTTCCGGCCCAAACCACCTCTGCGAGGGTTGGAGACTGAAAACACTCACCATGGTCTGTAGCGAAGCAGTCGATGACGGCCATATTGTCCCAGAGTGCTCGCTGGTCGTCCTCGACCATCAGAGGCGGTTTGACCTGACCCATGGCGCCCAGCCGGTCCAGCTCGCTGGACGTGAGGAACAGATGGTGCGGCGACACCTCGCATGTCACTGGGAAACCCTGGATGAAAGAGGGGTGCGTAAAGCGAGACGCGTCGGCGATGGTTTGCACATTCCACGTTATCGAGAGACGCAGGACAGGGAGGATGTTAAGGACAGGAAGGGGCAGGACGAGAGACAGGACAGGAGAGACGGCAAAAGACGGAAAGGAAAGGACAAAAAAAAAAAACGGCCCAGACGGCTGGTGAAGAATAACCACTGGGCATGACAAATTGGGCAGATTATAATTATATGCGTCGGGTTCAAAAAGAAGCTGCTGGGTTGCTACTTGGAAGATGTGAATAGCCAATCTACAAGGTAGGCATTTTAAGCGATTAAAGAGGTGCACCAAATAAAGCAAAACGAAGACGATTAAATAGGAAAGAAACAACGGAAAGATATATAATATATAAAAGCACATATATAACCTACCCTTAATCGAAAACAACTCGTGATACATTTCAGTGTGATTTTGAACCACTCAAAAAGCAGTTAAAACATACTGTTATAACGAGTCAAACGGAAGATGCCTAGCAATTCGTAACGCTGAACGATGGGTATACTCGGCAAATGATTAGGGCCAGTAGAAAGCACATATTTCCGAACAAATTGATGTCTACATTACCTTCTGTTTGGCGGCCTTGATGAGCAGAATCTCCTCCTTTTTGGCCACGTGGCAGATGTGGATTGGTCGGTTGGCGAGCGCCGCGACCATCATGGCGGCTGCCATTGTCTGGCCTTCTGCGTGGACGCACAGTGGTAGATGTCGCTGCCCAGGGGAGCAAAGAAGACGCTGTCAGATGGAATACGGCTACTGGATTATTGTACAGTTTAATAATAAGACCACCTGTGTCGGGAGTGATAAGCAAAGTGCATTGACCAATTAAAAGAAGTGGTTCAAATTACTTGTGGAGAAAAGAACCAAGCAATAGTGGTTATAAACAAAAACGTAGAACTCTAACCAAGCTCATCGGACAGAGCTAAATCCTCCCAAATCCCGTTCTAAGGCCTCCTAAATCCCATTCTAAGGCCTCCTAATTCACACGCAAAAGCCAATTAATGAGCACACCTTTTCTTCAAATCGTCAAATCTTCCACTCATGCAAAACAAAATAGAGAAAACTCTTGAGAAGGCACCGAGCCGACGGAAACAGATCCAAGAATAATTAAGACGTTCTACTCATATTCCCTCACGCAGACATTTGAGATACCAGAAAGGGACCGATCACTCCTTCACAGCCCAGCAGCCGCGATTAAAAGGTGTCCCTCACCGGCCAATGTTCCATGTGCTGGGTCCACACGGTCAGATCGTCCAGCCTCAGGTCAGAGAACGTGTCGTTCAGGTACATCTTGAGCGCGGCGGCACGCGGTCCCAGCTCAGCCAGCTGTCTGTAGTTGTCCAGAGAGGCGCCCACGAACAGGGCGTAGTCGCAGCGGGCGCCGCGCGCCGCGCACTGAGGAGACACGCGAGTGTGAAGAGATAGGGGAGTGCAGTGACGCCGTGAACGACCGAGGAAGGTGATGATAGATGAATTGATGATAGATTGCGTTGATTGCGTTGATGATAGATGAATTCGGAATGCGTGGACAATGCCGGGTGTCGGACAGTGACATACAGTACCAAAAACTGTAAAAGCTGTGCTAAACCATAGAACTCTGTACACCATAGACCTCTGGTGTACAGAGATCTATGTTTAAACTTATTCATTTTGCCTTCAAAAGGCAATGTTTCATGTGAAACAGACTACCAATAATAAATATCAGTCGCAGAGACACGATCGCAAAGAAACGTGAACCACGCGAACAAATCATGTCCGTCTCGCTAACACCCTATGTTGTCTATGTTTCTCAGAAGTACGGTATGTATCTCTATCTGCCTAACCTCCTTGGCCATCTGGAAGCTGTCCCTGTCGATGATGGCCGGCTTCGTGTTGGGCATAGCCATCACCATGGTGACACCGCCAGCCAGCGCCGCCGCCGTTCCCGACGCAAAGTCCTCCTTGTGCGTCTGACCTGTGGAACAATCACAGCGGTACGATCAGAACGGCGCGTCAGTTCGTCACAGGGCAGCGAATAGTGGGCCCAATTACGGCCATTGAAGCTCGCTTCCCATAGCAATGACCAACACGTCTAAAAATCCGGAGCTCTCTTTCAGTAAAAGAGAGAGAGAGAGAGAGAGAGAGAGAGAGAGAGAGAGAGAGAGAGAGAGAGAGAGAGAGAATGAGAGAGAGAGAGAGAGAGAGAGAGAGAGAGAGAGAGAGAGAGAGAGAGAGAGAGAGAGAGAGAGAGAGAGAGAGAGAGAGAGAGAGAGAGAGAGAGAGAGAGAGAGAGAGAGAGAGAGAGAGAGAAGACAGCGTGTCGGTCTATCGGTCGTGAAGTTTACTCGCAACTTAAAACGCAAAATTACACAAGTACGTTTGAAAAAATAGCTCGCAATAAGATGCCATTCATTGACTGGGCTCAGAATTTTTTTCAGTCACTGACCGGGGTCCCGCAGATGCACGTGAACGTCGATCATGCCCGGCAGCCGAACGATGCGACGCGACGAGATACAGTCGATACCCGTGTTGATCACCGGGGCCTTGCCACCCAGTCGGTGTAGAGCCTGTGAGCGGTGGGCGGGTAAGGGGAAGGTTAGACCCACAGGGTAAGGGTTAGACCCACAGGGGAAGGAGAAAGGCGCGAGAGGCACAGACACTGACAGACAACACAGGAAACCGTCGGATAAACATAGGGATAGGAACGGGTCAGACCGATAGATACAAATGGCAAAAGAAATGTTTTGAGGCGAGGAGCATGCAGATAGACAGAATAGGGATGAAAAGAGGAAAAGAGAACGATGGGTGGCGGGGAAATAATACAAAATTACACATGGTTAGAATGGTAGGGACTAGGAGAAGAGGTAGACATTGGACAAAACTGATAGGGGGAGACAGCATCTTACAGTCCTACAGACGTTTAAAACGCGGGTTACTGTTGCTCTTATCAATCGCTGCACGTTTTAAACCGATTGTTCATTCTCAAAATTTTGTACTACCCAGAAAGAGAAACATGTCCGTGCGTGAAGTTAGCGTCAGCAACAGCAACGAATACAGCGTCGGATTCAGAATCGCTTAAAAAACTCATATTAGGTCAATTGGGGGACGGGGAGCAAGAATATGACCTTTATTTGGCCCTAGCTCTTACCCATTACCCCTTAATCGGCCCTTAAAGGAAGGGGCGCGTCAAAAGTGCCTCAAGGGTTCGTCTGATCGCCAAAACAAGGGTCGCAATCGATTCCTCGGGTCAATATCTAGCCGCAGCCTCGGGTTCCAGATGTGTGCAACTTACCCCTTACCCCTTAATCGGCCCTTCCCAGCCAGCAATTCGCTTGGGCTGAACTGTGGCAAGCGTCGGGCAGCTTGGGCTTAGCTTGGGTTTGCCCACTTTGATCAAAACCAATGTATTTTTTACTAGGGCTGAGCTGGGGCATGCCGCAGCTATGCCCACGTGCGGATAGCAGTAGCTCAGCCCGACATCTGCCCGCGCATCCAAAACAGGCTTAACTTGGGCGGAGCGCGGGCTGATCAAGCTGGCTGTGTCCTTCGGCTAACTGCAGTAAAGCCGGAGCTTAGCCATACTTGTTCGGCTGTTCGCGCATGCGCAGTTCTGCGCCAATCATGTGCAGCGTTTGTGACAGTCTGCGCGCTGTGCGACGAAACGACACACCGGTGTTGGGGCATTTGGTGGTTGATGTTTGGGCGCGTGTGACAGCGCGAAGAAGGGATAAGTGCTCACTGCTCTTATCAAGTGGACTGGCATGGAGTTTTACGGTAGGTAAGTGTATTGAATGGTGCGCTTGATCGTATGTAAACGTCATGATTTAGACTGAGTTTGACGCCATCAAACATGACCGGAGCAAAATTGTTGGCTGGGTTAAAGGAAGGGGCGCGTCAAAAGTGCCTCAAGGGTTCGTCTGATCGCCAAAATAAGGGTCGCAATCGATTCCTCGGGTCAATATCTAGCCGCAGCCTCGGGTTCCAGATGTGTGCAACTTACCCCTTACCCCTAAATCGGCCCTTAAAGGAAGGGGCGCGTCAAAAGTGCCTCAAGGGTTCGTCTGATCGCCAAAATAAGGGTCGCAATCGATTCCTCGGGTCAATATCTAGCCGCAGCCTCGGGTTCCAGTTGTGTGCAACTTACCCCTTACCCCTTAATCGGCCCTTAAAGGAAGGAGCGCGTCAAAAGTGCCTCAAGGGTTCGTCTGATCGCCAAAATAAGGGTCGCAATCGATTCCTCGGGTCAATATCTAGCCGCAGCCTCGGGTTCCAGATGTGTGCAACTTACCCCTTACCCCTTAATCGGCCCTTAAAGGAAGGGGCGCGTCAAAAGTGCCTCAAGGGTTCGTCTGATCGCCAAAATAAGGGTCGCAATCGATTCCTCGGGTCAATATCTAGCCGCAGCCTCGGGTTCCAAATGTGCGCAACTTACCCCTTACCCCTTAATCGGCCCTTAAAGGAAGGGGCGCGTCAAAAGTGCCTCAAGGGTTCGTCTGATCGCCAAAATAAGGGTCGTAATCGATTCTTCGGGTCAATATCTAGCCGCAGCCTCGGGTTCCAGATGTGTGCAACTTACCCATTACCCCTTAATCGGCCCTTAAAGGAAGCGGCGCGTCAAAAATGCCTCAAGGGTTCGTCTGATCGCCAAAATAAGGATCGCAATCGATTTCTCGGGTCAATATGTACGTCTGTATACTTAGCGAATTATTGACATTGACGTTCAGCGACAGATTCGCGGACCCCTAGGAATCCGCTGAAAATCCCTATATAGGGGTAAATTGGGGCGTAGAGTCGCGTGGTGCAATCCGTTAAACCCTACACCTAATACTTTTCCCGCTAGAGGGCAGCAAAGTTCCAGCGACAGGTTCACCGGACCCCTAGGATTCCGCTGAAAATCCCTACATAGGGGTAACCTGGGGCGTAGAGTCGCATGGTGCAATCCGTTAAACCCTACACCTAATACTTTTCCCGCTAGAGGGCAGCAAAGTTGAAGCGACAGATTCGTCGGACCCCTAGGATTCCGCTGAAAATCCCTAAATAGGGGTAAATTGGGGCGTAGAGTCGCGTGGTGCAATCCGTTAAACCCTACACCTAATACTTTTCCCGCTAGAGGGCAGCAAAGTTCCAGCGACAGATTCGCCGGACCCCTAGGAATCCGCTGAAAATCCCTACATAGGGGTAACTTGGGGCGTAGAGTCGCGTGGTGTAATCCCTTAAACCCTACACCTAATACTTTTCCCGCTAGAGGGCAGCAAAGTTCCAGCGACACATTCGCCGGACCCCTAGGATTCCGCTGAAAATCCCTATATAGGGGTAACTTGGGGCGTAGAGTCGCGTGGTGCAATCCGTTAAACCCCACACCTAATACTTTTCCCGCTAGAGGGCAGCAAAGTTCCAGCGACAGATTCGCCGGACCCCTAGGAATCCGCTGAAAATTCCTACATAGGGGTAACTTGGGGCGTAGAGTCGCGTGGTGTAATCCGTTAAACCCTACACCTAATACTTTTCCCGCTAGAGGGCAGCAAAGTTCCAGCGACAGATTCGCCGGACCCCTAGGATTCCGCTGAAAATCACTACACACTACACAGGGGTAACTTGGGGCGTAGAGTCGCGTGGTGCAATTTGATAAACCCTACACCTAATACTTTTCCCGCTAGAGGGCAGCAAAGTTCCAGCGACAGATTCGCCGGACCCCTAGGATTCCGCTGAAAATCCCTACATAGGGGTAACTTGGGGCGTAGAGTTGCGTGGTGCAATCCGTTAAACCCTACACCTTATACTTTTCCCGCTAGAGGGCAGCAAAGTTCCAACGACAGATTCGCCGGACCCCTAGGATTCCGCTGAAATAGGGGTAACTTGGTCGCCAGACCCCTAGGATTCCGCTGAAAATCCCTACATAGGGGTAACTTGGGGCGTAGAGTCGCGTGGTGCAATCCGTTAAACCTTACACCTAATACTTTTCCCGCTAGAGGGCAGCAAAGTTCCAGCGACAGATTCGCCGGACCCCTAGGAATCCGCTGAAAATCCCTACATAGGGGTAACTTAGGGCGTAGAGTCGCGTAGTGTAATCCGTTAAACCCTACACCTAATACTTTCCCCGCTAGAGGGCAGCAAAGTTCCAGCGAAAGATTCGCCGGACCCCTAGGATTCCGCTGAAAATCACTACACAGGGGTAACTTAGGGCGTAGAGTCACGTGGTGCAATCCGTTAAACCCAACAACTAGTACTTTTCCCCCTAGAGGGCAGCAAAGTTCAAGCGACAGATTCGCCGGAACCCTAGGATTCCGCTGAAAATCCCTACATAGGGGTAACATGGGGCGTAGAGTCGCCTGGTGCAATCCGTTAAAACCTACACCTAATACTTTTCCCGCTAGAGGGCAGCAAAGTTCCAGCGACAGATTCGCCGGACCCCTAGGAATCCGCTGAAAATCCCTACATAGGGGTAACTTGGGGCGTAGAGTCGCGTGGTGTAATCCGTTAAACCCTACACCTAATACTATTCCCGCTAGAGGGCAGCAAAGTTCCAGCGACAGATTCGCCGGACCCCTAGGATTCCGCTGAAATAGGGGTAACTTGGTCGCCGGACCCCTGGGATTCCGCTGAAAATCACTACATAGAGGTAACTTTGGGCGTAAAGTCGCTTGGTGCAATCTGTTAAACCCTACACTTAATACTTTTCCCGCTAGAGGGCAGCAAAATTCCAGCGACAGATTCGCCGGACCCCTAGGAATCCGCTGAAAATCCCTACATAGGGGTAACTTGGGGCGTAGAGTCGCGTGGTGTAATCCGTTAAACCCTACACCTAATACTTTTCCCGCTAGAGGGCAGCAAAATTCCAGCGACAGATTCGCCGGACCCCTAGGAATCCGCTGAAAATCCCTATATAGGGGTAACATGGGTCGTTGAGTCGCGTGGTGTAATCCGTTAAACCCTACACCTAATACTTTTCCCGCTAGAGGGCAGCAAAGTTCCAGCGACAGATTCGCCGGACCCCTAGGAATCCGCTGAAAATCCCTACACAGGGGTAACTTGGGGCGTAGAGTCGCGTGGTGCAATCCGTTAAACCCTACACCTAATACTTTTCCCGCTAGAGGGCAGCAAAATTCCAGCGACAGATTCGCCGGACCCCTAGGAATCCGCTGAAAATCCCTTTATAGGGGTAACATGGGTCGTTGAGTCGCGTGGTGTAATCCGTTAAACCCTACACCTAATACTTTTCCCGCTAGAGGGCAGCAAAGTTCCAGCGACAGATTCGCCGGACCCCTAGGATTGCGCTGAAAGAGGGGTAACTTGGTCGTCGGACCCCTGGGATTCCGCTGAAAATCACTACATAGGGGTAACCTGGGGCGTAGAGTCGCATGGTGCAATCCGTTAAACCCTACACCTAATACTTTTCCCGCTAGAGGGCAGCAAAGTTCAAGCGACAGATTCGTCGGACCCCTAGGATTCCGCTGAAAATCCCTAAATAGGGGTAAATTGGGGCGTAGAGTCGCGTGGTGCAATCCGTTAAACCCTACACCTAATACTTTTCCCGCTAGAGGGCAGCAAAGTTCCAGCGACAGATTCG